CACCGCCATGCACGCCCTGCGTCGAGGGCCGGCACTGCCGTGCTCCTCACTCCTCCTCACTTCGCCCTGCCACTGCACCCCTTCAGACCCTGCACTTGGACGTCTGGGGCCCAACCCCTTTCCCTGGACCGCGTCGCGAGCGCTACTTTCTGGTGCTCGTTGATGACTTCACGCGCTACACCACGGTGTTTCCCCTGGAGCGGAAGGTCGACGTGCCCGATGTTCTTATCCCGTGGCTCTTCGCTGCGCGCCTCCACTGCAGTCTCCCTGTGCTGTGTCTCCACTCCGACCGTGGCGGTGAGTTCGCCTCTGATCGGCTGGGTCAGTTCTGTCTTGCGCAGGGTATCACCCAGACGTACACCCTACCGTACTCCCCGTAGCGGAATGGGTTCGCTGAGCAACGCATCGGTTTGGTCATGGAGGTGGCTCGTACCTCCATGATCCATGCCGGTGCACCCCATTTTCTGTGGTCGTTCGCCATTCGCTATGCCGCTCACCAGCTTAACCTCTGGCCTCGCTCTCAGCGGCCGCAGGTTTCGCCGACCCTTCTTTGGACCGGGTTCCCTGGTGACGCGTCTGCGTTCCACGTCTGGGGCTGCCTCGCTCACGTTCGTGCCTCCGACACGGGCAAGCTCGCTGCCCGCACCGTCGCCTGTGTCTTCCTCGGTTTCCCTCTTGACTCGTCTGACTGGCACTTCTACCACCCGCCATTTCACCGCTTCCTTCACTCCCGTGACGTCACTTTCGACGAGTCTGTCTCCTTTTTCCACCGCTTTCCTCACCGAGGTCTCCTGGTTCCCCCCCCCCCTGTTTCTTCTCCCCCCCCCCCCCCTGTTTCTGCTCCCCCTCCCCCTGGTTCCCACTCCCCCGGTCGCCACTGATCCCCTCCCTCCCCGTCCTGCTCCGTCTCGTGTGTCTCACGTCACCCCCCTCCCGTCGGTTGTCCCGGTCGAGGAGTCGGCTGACTCCGGTGGCCCCGCGGCACCGTCTGCGCCGCCTGTCCCTCCCTCGGTGTCTCCTCCTCCCTCGTCGCAGTCGCCGCCGCAGCCGCAGCCGTCGCCGCAGCCGCAGCCGCCGCCGCAGCCGCCGCAGTCACCGCTGTCGCAGCCGCAGTCGTTGTCGCAGCCGCAGACATTCGTGGACTCTGGGGGTGCTGGAGTTGGAGAGGGTGCTAGTCCTGGGGCTCCTATCGTGGCTTGTCCCGGCGGGCTCGGGGGTGGCACCGGCGCTGGAGACGTTTCTCGTTCTGGGGGTGCTGGTGTGGAGTGTACTGGAGGTAGCAGTGGTGCAGCTGGTGGTCCAGGGGTCGGCGTTGAGTAGCAGCAGCAGTAGTCGTCGCCGGTGTCCGCCCTTCGCCTGCTCGGCCTTCCCTCCCCTGACCGCTCGCCTGCGCCTCCCTCGCCGTCTCCCCCTCTTCCTGTTCACGGTCCTGTGTTTCCTCTACCGGACTCGTCCCCGACTCCTTTCCCCTCTCGTTCCCCTCCCATTACTCCTCCTCCGTCTCCTGACCCGACGCCTCCGTCTCACGTCTGGTCTCGCCGTCCCTCTCGTGCTCGTCCTGTCTCTCCTGTTCAGCGTTCTTACCCTATGTTGTTTCGTTCCCACGCGTCTCGTCCTCCCCGTTTGCCTTCGCCTCCTCCGCTGTCACTCACCGTTGCGCCTCCTCCTCTGTCTGACTACCTTCATGCTGCGCGTCCCCTTGTTCCTCGGGTCCTTGCCTCCCTCGTTATCGACCCGTCTGTTCCTGTCTCCAGTCTTGACGCTCTTTTCTTGCTGTCGCTGACTTTGCCTCTACTTGCCACCTTGACTTCGCTACCACTCTGGTCTCTGACCCTGTCTGTCCTCCGTCCGTCAGGGGTGCTCCTGCCCTCGGCAGTGACATCGTGGAGGACCGGCAGTACGAGCTTGCTATCCTATCTGAGACTGCTCCCCATCTATGTTCCATGCTGCTAGTCCCTGAGGGTGACCCCGACGCCTTTGACATCCCGACTCCTCGCACCTACGCTGAGGCCACCTCGGGACCCTAAGCCTCTCAGTGGATAGCTGCCATGGAGCAGGAGTTGGCACCTACGTCGACGAAGTTCCCCCACCTGGGGTGAACGTAGTCGATGGTCGGTGGCTCTTCAAGGTCAAGCGCCCCCCTGGAGAGCCACCTGTGTTCAAAGCGCGCTACGTGGCTAGAGGTTTCAGTCAGCGAGAGGGGGTGGACTTCTTTCAGACCTTCGCCCCGACCCCGAAGATGACCACTCTTCGGGCGCTGCTACACGTAGCACCACAGCGTGACTACGAGCTTCACTCCATCGACATCTCCGCTGCTTTTCTTTAAGGCAGCCTACACGAGCATGTCTACCTGCGCCGCCCTCAGGGCTTCATCGGTACTTTCCCTCCTGGGACCTAGTGGCTCCTCCGGCGCCCCGTCTACGGCTTGCGACAGGTGCCCCGTGAGTGGCATGACACGCTGCGTGATACGCTAGCTGACCTGCAGTTCTTTCTGCCCTCTGCTGACCCTTTGCTCTTTGTTCCTGCTGGCTAGACTCCGTTCTACATCCTTGTCTACGTAGACGACCTGGTCTTTGCTACAGCAGACAAATACACGCTGGCCTCCGTGAAGGCTAAGCTGGTGAGGCGACACACCTGCACTGACCTGGGAGAGCTGCGCCGCTTCCTTGGCCTGCAGATCTCCAGGGACAGAGCAGCGCGCACCATCACTCTTACACAGTCACACTTGGTGCGCCAGGTCCTTCAGAGGTTCGGTCTTCAGTTCTCTTCTGCAGAGCCCACACCTCTGCCGGTAGACCACAGGCTCTCAGCTCCAGTTCCCGAGGAGGCAGCAGAGCCCAGTGGTCCTTACGCAGAGCTGGTGGATTGCCTCATGTACCTGATGACTTGCACTCGCCCAGATCTCGCATATCCTCTTAGCATCCTGGCCTGCTTTGTGGCCACAGGCAGACACCGACCACTGCACTGGTCGGCCGCTAAAAGGGTTTTGTGTTATCTTGCAAGTACATCGAGCAAGGGGCTACTGCTGGGAGGACGCAGGCCAGTGGTCCTTACTGGGCACACAAACGCTTCTTGGGCTGACGACGCTGAGACACTCTGGTCCTCCCAGGGCTACTGCTTCAGCCTTGGTTCTAGTGCCCTCTCGTGGAGGTCCACTCGCTCCTCGTCTGTTGCTCAGTCTAGCTGCGAGGCTGAGATCTACGATGGTGCCATGGCGGCACAGGAGCTCCACTGGCTGACCTTCTTGCTTGCCGACATAGGTGAGCGGCCTAGCTCTGCCCCGGTTCTTTACGCTGACAACAGGGCCATGATCCTCCTATGTCAGGAGCCTCGACTTGAGGGCAGAGCGAAACACATCCAGCTGCGGTACTTCCTCCTGCGTAAGCTTCAGCAGTGTCGCCAGCAGGGTCTCAGATATCAGACGAAATCCGTCTGATGGTCTGAAAATCAGACCTGTTTTTTTGCTTTCATCTGATTTTTTGACGGGGTGAATTATTTCGTCTGATTGTCCATCTGAGTCATAAGATTTCGTCTGAAAGTTCAGACTTGGTGTATTTTTTCGTCTGAAATGTCAGATAGCGCGTACAATTTCGTCTGACAGCAATCGCCTACTATCCCACTACGCCAATGGGTCACCTGCCCATTGGCCCACACTCTGCCATCCTGGTCGTGGTCGGTGAGATTTTTTTGGCTAAGTCCTCGACTGCCAGATACATTCCCCCACACCCCTAGAATACCTAGTTTTTCCGGCTAAGTGCCCCACACAAGAGATATTCCTCCACACACCCCTCGCAACAACGAATTTTCGGTTAAGTCTCCCACACCAGATTCATTCATCAACCCAAAAAATTCGGCGAAGTCCTTAACTGCAAGATACATTCCCCCACACACCCCTTGCAGCCCAGTTTCCAGCTAAGTCCCTGCAACCCTGCTTCCACACTGTTTTTTTCTGCTTCGTCGCTTGACTGGACTGGGGGCGGGGTGGAAGGAACCCTGAAATTGCTGGGCAAAGAGAGGGGGCTGCCTGCACGTGGCGCGTCGTGCCACCTGCAAGTGTTCCTGCCAGAATCCGAAGGCGTGTGTCTTTCATTTCCGGAACTCAGCTAGTTTCCGAAACCGGGTCTGGTTACACATTTCGCAGCTCATTTTGACAGGGCTTCGCGAGTACCTGCGCAGGCAAAATTTTCGCCAGTTCCGGAACTAGTTCCGGAACTTCCAGAAGCGGAGCCGTAACACACACGCCTTTAGAGCTTTTTCCTACGGCCTCTGCACAGGCCTGCCTGTTCCCAGACTCGCACGCTTCAATGCCGTGCAATTATTCTTGGGCTCTTCTGTGTGGTTCAGACTGACGAGGTTCATGGCCTGTTCTAAACTTCTTCGCAGGCGCACCTTTTCCAGAGATGCGCGAGTCTCTACAGTTCGATTATGACCCGAGCAGAATTAAAGCGGTTGAGAATGTGATACTGAAACGAAGTGAGCTTGACAAGAAAACCTTAGAGCACGCTCTTAGCCGAGGACCGAGTCTGGGAATTGGGTAGCCTGGGAAGAGGTTTGTAAGAAAACGCTCTTAGCAGGAAACGAACAAATCGAGGTCGAAATCACGAGGGACAAATATTCTTGCGCAAAAAAATCGTCTGAATCTTAAGACCAGTGTAAAAGTTTCGTCTGAAATCTCAGACTCCTTGAAAATTTTCGTCTGATGGTCAGACCAAACTTTGAAACCCCGTCTGATTCTCAGACGGCCCTAAATCCTAGCTGAAACCCTGGTCGCCAGGCCCGCGTAGTACACTTGGCCTCCGGTGCCAACACAGATGATATCTTTACTAAGGCGCTTCCGCCTAAAGATAATCAGCGGCACTGCTTGTAGTTAGGTCTAGTCCTTGTTGACTCTCACTTGCTAGGGTCTCAGCCCCTGCCTGAGAGGTTGGACTAGTAGTGCCGTGCCACCCTAAGGTGCGTGTTTCTTGCTCAGCACTACCCCTTATCTAGCCTAGGGGGTGTGTCAACTCATACATATATTGTTATGTAGAAATTATAGGCTAGGTAGGGTATGTTCTTAGTGGGTACAACCCAAACGCTATACCTCCCCTGTTCTCCCTTGTTCTATTTATTCTTTCTAGGCTGAACAAAAGTCTGGGAAGAGGTTGGACTGGGAAGAGGCCATAGGAACACGCACTTATTACCTATCAAACAGCCCGGAAATTACTCTCCGAGTTCTCAAAGGGCACGAAGCAGAACAAGCAGCGTGCAACACGCCAATCAGATGCAGCTTCCAGTACGTCAGATCATATGGAGCTGCCCTTTTCCGCCAGCGTGCTGATCTCTACGGGGTGCTCCGGGTCGCAGGTGCGTGTTAGATGCATGGAGGCAGGGCGCATGGAGAACATGGCAGCGGTGCGAGAGTAGCCCGAGTCGGGGAACACAAAGCGGTCGCACGACGCAAAGAGCAGCCACTCCGCCACTGTCTCCTGCACCATGGCCTCGCTCGCCTCACCGCTCTTATCGTTGGGGTCCTCGTTCTTGCTCACGTGGCGGGGCACAAAGTTGGTCACTACCACCTGAGGGAGGTGGGAGGAAGGGGAGAGGAGGACAAGAGGAAGACAAGAGGAGGAGGAGGAGGAGGAGGAGGAGGAGGAGGAGGAGGAGGAGGAGGAGGAGGAGGAGGAGGAGGAGGAGGAGGAGGAGGAGGAGGAGGAGGAGGAGGAGGAGGAGGAGGAGGAGGGAAGGGAAGAACGAGGAAGAATGCTTGAGTGGTGCCTTGAAGAAAAGCTGTTCGTAACACATGCTGGGAGGCAAAGTTGGTCACCACCGCCTGAGGAAGGAGGTAGGAAGGGGATGCAAGAGGAAGGGAAGGGGGGACGGCAAGAGGAGGAACAGCGGGAAAGAGCAAGGAAGAGCGCTTGAGGGACCTTGCTCACGAGCTACGGCACATAGGTGGTGGTCAGCACCACCTGAGCACGGGAGGAGGGAGGAGGAACGGAAGGGAGAGCAAGGAAGAAAAATCGTTTTATTGACGCAACGAAGCAAGGGAGCCTGGAGACCGTTTTATTGCCGCCCACATTTAGTGGGACCGAGTTAGTCATCACCATCTGAGGAATCACCATCTGAGGAATCACCATCTGAGGAATCACCATCTGAGGAATCACCATCTGAGGAATCACCATCTGAGGAATCACCATCTGAGGAATCAAGATGGAAAATTCTAAGTTGGTGCCTCCTGGAGCATGGGAGGAGTCAGAACCAGGATTGGGTAAAAAAACAGGATAGGAGAGGAGGAAGGTGATGATGGTAGAAGTTGGAAAAGGACCTGTGATGCGACATCATATCACATAGCGATATGTAGTGACATGCCCACTTCGCACACTACCCCTTGGCACAGTACCTTGTCAGCGTATCTCTTCTGAATGGCTCCCTTGAGTTGGTGCGAGTTGGTGACCACGAGCCACCGGGACTTTATGGAGGACGGGTGCCACCAATTCTCCACCACCTGCCAGGTGCAAAGCAGCAGCGCACGGAAAGCATAGCGGGAAGTGCATGAGTGAGTGAGGGTGTGAGCGCTTGGTGGTGCAAGCTGGTGACCACGCGCACAGAATCGTGTTTTGGAGTCCTCCGCGGACTGACGCCCCATGCAGCAAGGAGAGAAGAACAAGGGGAGAAAGAGAGAGAGAGAGAGAGAGAGAGAGAGAGAGAGAGAGAGAGAGAGAGAGAGAGAGAGAGGGAGAGAGAGAGAGAGAGAGATACCTGGGAGACTGTACCTGTTTGTACCCATCCTACTTACCTAGCCTGTACCCAGGATTGCCCAGCAACAAAGGACAGTTCGAGAGAGAGAGAGGGGGGGGGGGGAGAGCCATAGACAAACGAGAGCGCGCACCAAGAGGATCAACTACAGCAAACCACTGGATGAAGCACGGCCCAGCACCAAACCCCAGCTCGCTCAAACACTCTCCCCCTGTCCCTACACCCACCCACCTGAGCACACTCCAGGGCGGGCCTGGCCTGCTCCATGAGCTGCGCAATCTGCGTGTCGTTGAGCGTGATGGGCGCACCGTAGCCGTGCAGCCCGCCCCACACGACGTGGTCGTCCACGCGGATGTGCACGCCCACGCTGAGGCTGTGCTCGCTGTGCAGCGCGCGCGCCGTCTCCCGCATCAGCTGCCACACCTCCGGCTTTGGCCTGCCGCAAGCCATGGGAACAGGATAGAGAGATACAACACAAGGCCAGATAAAACAGCCACACGCATCAGCTGCCGCTATGGCCTGACGCACGGGAGACGACATGGCAGGTGTGGGGAATAGGCCAGAGAGAAAGGAAGAAGGCTGGAGGATTGATGGGCTGGGCTGATGGAGAGAACGGATGTGGACAAGGATGACGTGCCTCTATCCCCTCAATCCCCCTCTTCTCCCCTCCCAACCGCACCCCTGTTCACATCCAGCCCAGCAGCCATCTCAACATGTCATTCTCTCCCTCCCTCTGTCCCACCCACCCACCTGATCAGCAGTCTAAGTATACACCCAAAGGAGTAGGGCGGCCGTAGTCCCAGTGCACGGAACCTGCCGCCCCACGTGCCGTTGTTCTTAAAAAAGTACGTCAGATGGCCCACGTTCCACGCCACCCGCACAACTGGATACCGCTCCAACCGCCCAAACAGCACCTCCGGATCCACCTTCATCGCCGTGAGCGCGATCCTGGGCACTCTCCCCGCCTCCACCGGCTGTGTCTCGTTGTTGATGAACTGCACCGGGTCGATCTTCACGTCCGGCGTGGGCCGCCAGTCGAAGGAGGCCGGCTCGAACGCATGCAGCAGCCACGGGTGCTTGACGACGAACCCGCGGCCGTCCAGTAGAGCGGTTATGAACGTGGTGATGAGGCCCGTTATCGTGTCCCCGTACCCGCCTATTCCGGAGTCATAGGCGAGGAAGCGAGGGGAGGAGGGTAGGGGGTCTAGGAACGAGGCGGGTAGAGAGGCGTCGGATGGGGAGGAGGCGGAGGAGGAGGTGGAGGGGGAGGGGAAGGGAGCAGCAGCCGAGGGTGAGGCAGCGGAAGGGGACGCAAGAGAGGCAGGCGCGTCAGCGGCAGCTGGCTTGGTTGTAGCAGCAGCGATGGGTCCCGTGGCGCGGCTTAGCGCGCGCATGTGGTCATTGAGGCGCACCGCGACCTCTTTAAGATTGCCGCACAGGCGGTCCGGGTAGGAGAAGTCGAACGGCGAGGGCAGCCCGGGGCATGCGGAGGAGGAGTCGTGCGCCGCGCGCGCCTGAGGGGAGAGGGGCGGGTGTGGAGTTCGGGGGAAAGGGGTGTCCGCGGGTGAGGGGAGGGTACAGGTGAAGGGGAGTGAGTTGATGGAATTAGACACGAAGAGAGAGGAAGCAGTATGGACGTTTGAAAGGAACGGGTGAAGGAGGGGAGGAGGGATGTTCGAGCGACGGAGGGGGGAAATGCATGAGGAGGATACAAGCGTGAAGAAAAAGCTGCGACACAAGCTGCGACACATGCTGCGACACATGCTGCGACACATGCTGCGACACAAGCTGCGACAAAGGCACGCGAATCGGGTCTCTGGTGTTGCGACGGGGCGAAGGAGGAGGCGTACCGCAGGGGAAGACGAGAGTGACAGGAGAATCGTGGCGAGCGCTAGAATCGAGCGCCTAGTATCGCGGATCATGGCGGATATATCGCTCAGACCGCTGCCAGGTGGCTAATTAACCCAGGTCTCATATCTTCCTCATGTGAACACTTGGTTACAAACTAGGAGCCCTGAATTGGGGCCTGGAGAGGTGCGAAACTCTAGAAAGCACGTCACGAGAGTAGATTTGCGAGCAGCCCGACAGCCGGAAAAGAGGCGAACCTAATCTACGATCCGGCGGGGAGCAGCCATGGATCGGATTGCTGCTCGGTAGGTGGTGCTAGTGTGCTATCAGCTTGCTCGGTATGGGAGTGTGAGCTTGCTAGTTGGTGGCTGGTGTTGGTGTTCAATAGCGCGACGACACCGTGAGGGACTGATGTGTAATGAGGTGATGTTTGAGCTACTCTACACTGATGTATTGCCAATTTCTGCAATAACGTACGAGAAACGATAATACTTCAGCTTTGTATAATGAAGACATTTTACCAATGTACTTTCCACCCCAGCTATTAGCCCAGCAACCTACCTGTGAATGTGTATGTGTCGCCACTACTGCACATCATATGGAGCTGCCCTTTTCCGCCCGCGTGCTGATCTCTACAGGGTGCTCCGGGTCGCAAGTGCACATTAGATGAATGGAGGCGGGGCGCATGGAGAACATGGCAGCGGTGCGCGAGTAGCCCGAGTCGGGGAACACAAAGCGGTCGCACGACGCAAAGAGCAGCCACTCCGCAAATGTTTCTTGAACCATGGCTTCATTTACCTTGCCATTGGGTTCCTCGTTTCTGCTCACATGGCGTCGCACGAAGTTGGTCACTATTACATGAGTGAAGCACGAGGGGGGGTGGATCAGGAAGAAAAGGAGAGCTACAAATCTGAGGCGAAAGAGTCTGAGAAGCTATAACCGTACTCTACTGACAGGACTAGATTCTCGGAACGTTAGCCGAAGCTCCCTCCAATCAACATAGCAGGCAGAACGACTAGAGCCTGCGGATTCAACATAGTGACTCCTCCTAGTATGCGCTTTGTCCCATGCAATGCAATGCGCCTACCAGCCCGCGCACTTCCTCGTTGGTGAACCTCTTCTGAATGGCCTTTGAGTCGACTCAACGTCACTTCCAGCCGTACCTTGGCGGGGTATCTCTTCTGGATGGCCTCCTTGAGCTGGTGCAAGTTGGTGACGACGAGCCACCGGGTCGTCATGGAGGGAGGGTGCCACCAGTCCTCTACGGCCTGACAAGTGCAAGGCACCGGAACGAAAGCACAACAGTGCCTGTATGAGAGTGAGGGAGTGAGTTAGTGGTGCGAGAAAGAGATCACAACTATGTCTTCATCAATGATGGGTTTCGCCATCGATGATGGGTACCGTCATAGCCCACAAAGTAGCAGCATGGGGGAACCATACAGAGAGAAGCACCGAGGGCGTCGCAAAAGGAGAGCATATACAATGGAGCAGCAAGAGAAGTCAAACGGGATCTTCTTCTTCTACGTAGACAATGATGTAGAACAGGGTCTGACAGGAATGAACAAAGAGCAAATGGTCTGCAGAGGACGAGAAAAATTGCAGATCAGCTAACGTAGCATGCAGCGTGTCGTGCCACTCGCGCGGCGCCTACCGCAGGACATAAACCGGGCGCCGCATGAGCCACCGGGTCCTCCAGTCGAAGGTGTCGGTGAAGCTTGGCGGGCGACGCAGGTAGACCTGCTCGTGCAGACTGCCCTGGTGAAACGCTGTAGAGAAGTCGAGGGAGTGTAGCTCGTAGTCACGCTGTGCTGCTACGTGTAGCAAAGCCCGAAGAGTAGTCATCTTCAGGGTCGAGGCGAAGGTCTGGAAGAAGTCAACACCCTCGCGCTGACTGAAGCCTCTAGCAACATAGCGCGCCTTCAACACCGGCGGCTCTCCAGGAGGGCGCTTCATCTTGAAGAGTCATCGGCCATCGACTACGTTCATTCAATGTGGGGGAACTGCATTGACGTAGGTGCCGGTGGATCTCCAATATGCCATCTCCGCGTCCATGGCAGCTATCCACTAAGAGGCACCGGGTCCCGAGGTCGCCTTTGCATAGGTGCGAGGGGTCGGGATGCCAAGGGTGTCTAGGTCACCCTCAGGAACTAGCAGCATGGAGCAGAGATGAGGAGAGGCCTCAGTCAAGAAAGCAAGCTCGTACTGCCGGTCCTGCTGGACGTCACTGCAAAGGGCAGGAGCACCCCTGACGGACGGAGGACGAGCAGGATCAGAGACCAGAGCGGTGGCGTAGTTAAGGCGGCACGTAAAGGCAAAGTCAACGACTGCCGCGACAAGAGCGTCAAGACTGGAGACAGGAACGGACAGGTCGGTAGCGAGGGATGCAAGGACACAAAGAATAAGAGGACTAGCTGCACAAAGGAAGTCAGACAGGGGAGGCGGAGGGACAACAAGCGACGACGGAGGAGGCGATGGGAGGAGGGGAGAACGAGGCGCGTGGGAACGAAGCAACATAGGTGAGAGTGCGGAACAGGTGAGACAAGACGCGCACAAGAGGGACGGCGAGACTACAAGTGGGAGGGAGGCGTCGGGTCAGGAGACAGAGAAGGAGACACAGGAGGAGAACGAGGGGTGAAACGACCCGGAGACTAGTCTGGCGTAGGAAAGACAGGGCCGTAGACAGGCGGGGTTGGCACAGGCGGGTGGTCAGGAGAGGGAAGATCGAGTAGGCAAAGGGCAAACACCGGCGGCGACTGCTGCTGCTGCTCCTCGCCGACACCAGAACCTCTAGCTGCACCATGGCTACCTCCTGGAAGCTCCACGTGAACACCCCCAGAACGAGACCCCGCTCCAGCACCGGTGCCACCCCCAGGACCCTTGGGACAAGCCACGACAGTACCCCCAGGACTAGCACCCCCTGACCTAGAAACTTCTCTAGCACGTGTGCCACCCCCAGGACCACCGGGACAAGCCACAAAAGTACCCCCAGGACTAGCACCCCTAGAAGCAGCACCCTCTTCAACGCCTACACTTCCAGAACCAGCACCCTCCTCAACGCCTGCACCCCAAGAGCTCGCGGACCCCTGCGGCGGCGGTTGCTGCTGCTACGGCGGCGGCGACAGTGGCGGCTGCTGTGGCAGCGACGGCGATTGTGGCTGCGAGGCAGAGGAGGAGATACCGGGGCGGAGACAGGCAGCAAACTCAAAGCCACAGGGCCCCCAGACTCAGCCGACTCCTCCATCGGGACGACTTACAGGGGGGAAGTGACGTGAGACACACTAAACGGGGCAGGACAAGGAGGGAGAGGAGCAGGGGCTACCAGGGGATTGGGAAGCAGGAACAAGGGGGGGGGGGACCGGGAGACCTTGATGGGGAAAGCGGGTGTAGAAGGAGACTGACTCGTCAAAAGTGACATCGCAAGAGTGAAAGTAACTTTGAGACGGCGGGTGGTAAAAGTGTCAGTAAGCACATACAGGGGGAAGCCAAGGAAGACACAAGGGACTGTGCGGGCAGTGAACTTGTCCGTGCAAGAGGCACAAACATGAGCAAGGCAGCCCCAAACGTGGAACGCAGACGCGTCACCAGGAGACCCGGTCCAGAGGAGGGTCGGCGAAACATGCGGCCGCTGGGAGTGTGGCCACATGTTAAGTTGGTGAGCGGCATAGCAAACAGTGAACAACCACAAAAAATGGGGTGCACCGGCATGGATCATGGAGGTACGAGCCACCTCCATGACCAAACTGATGCGTCACCCAGCAACCTTACTCTGCTGCAAGGAGTCTGGCAGGGTGTACGACTAGGTGATGCCCTCCGCACGATAGAACTGGCGAGGACAATCAGAGGCGAACTCGCCGCCACGGTCGGAGTGAAGACGCAGCACAGGGAGGCCGCGGTGGACTCACACAGCTACAACCCACGGGATAAGAATGCCAGGCACGTCGTCCTTCCGCTCTAGAGGAAGCACTGTGGTGTAGCACATGTAGTCGTCGACAAGCAATAGAAAGTAGCGCTCTCGACGCGGCCTAGGGACGGGGACTGGGCCCCAGACGTCCATGGTCTGAAGTGGCGTACAGGTAGGGGGAAGTGAGGAGTGAGGAGCACGGCGCAGCCGGCCCTCGACGCAGGGCGTGCATGATGGCGCAGGCGAGGGAGGGAGAGCAGGGAGCGACGCAAGGAGACCTAAGACAAGACCATGGTGGGACATGTGGTGCAAACACGGGAGTGCGGGGTGGCCTAGGCGGTGGTGCCACAGAAACGACGCGTGAGTGAGCAACATACACGAGCAAGCTGCAGCGACCTGGGTAGATGCAGGCACCAAGGGGGACGCCTTCACCGGGGGGGACGCGGTGTCAAAAGTAAACAGGCAGACACCGGGTCCCGGGGGAACGTGATGAGAGGGGTATCAGTGGTGACCTCGGTACAAACTGCGTACCGCTCGTGTCCGGGGAACATAGTGGTGACGCCAAGGTCCTGAAAACAGCTAGCACCAACTAGGTTCCTGGAGAACGAGAAGATGTGCAGGCCCATCAGAGAGCTCGAGGGAACCGCCGAACAGGGAAGGGTGGTGGAGCTACGGGCAACTACCGGACCTGATGAGGGGTCACCAAGCGGCGTGAGCACGATGTGGTCGCGGAAGAAGTAGGCAGACGCTCTGGAGTCTAGAATGAAGGAGAGCGAAGCGGTAGCATCAGTGTGCGGAGCGGCTAGCATGGAGCCGAGGCTAGACAAGGGAGAATTCCTATGCTTGACGCAGCAGGGGAAACTAGGCTATATACAGTGTACATACCTACACTAAGAAACACATGGAAATATGGGCCAGTCACACTAGAGTCATCGGCATACATGACATACATAGCAGACCTAATATGATCCATGTCCAGCTCAAAGACAGGCACACGACGATGCACCACGCTGTACCAGTCGGGGTGGTCCGACGCAGGGCCAAAGCGGAGACGGAAGAGGTCGTCAAGGCGGCGGTAGCAGCGAGCGGTGGTGTAACCAGGACGGTCACAGACGGTGCTGCGGCGGAGCCGGACTGAAGCTGGTGGCAAGTCACCACACTGGAGCCGCCACCCGACACCAAGATGCGCGGCCCTCCACAATGACCACCACCACCAGCCCCGCCAGGCCACCATGGCGGCGGGGGTCCCCATGGCTGCTGCTGCTTCTGCTGGGGCTGCTGCTTATGCTGCTCTAAGGCATCAGCCCCAGTCCCCTCGTCTGTACCATTGTCCCCACAACCACCTCCACCAACTCCGCCACCCCCACCACCCCCGCCACCCTTCCCTCCGCCACGCCCCCCTTGGGGCGGCGGCCTTTACCCTAACACGGCTGCC